TTGAAACTTGAGATAGGGAATGAACACAGTTAAGCAGTTTATAGTCGGACTGTAAAATAAATTGATACTCGGTAGTTTCCGGCAGTGAGATAAGTATGGTAATATGTTTTTAAGGTTTAAATACATCCTTGGCACCTGGCATATATAGGGGCTATTATATACCTCAGGTCTACTAGTTCAGATCCTGACTGTTTGGGTCATTGGAGAACAGTCTCAAGTAAGTTACCTAGTTGCAATGCCACACACCTTGTTCGGGACACACGCACAGATTCTCTGCTTCCCCTTTAATCACGTAATCGTTCATAAAACAATGGGTAAAAGGTTAAAGAGGGGCTACAAGGATTTGGAGTGAAATAGTACAATAGCGATTAGGCAAATCTTGTGAGCAAGGCTCTCCCATTCCACACTCCTACTATCTTCCCTGTCTCACTTAATGTACCAGTTCGTTTGCTTTTGTTCATCAGAGAGAAATCCAAATGCCACTCGTAGGTCGAAATATCTTCAGTCAAAGAATCAAGCACCGGCCATTGAGGAAGGTTTCAGCTGTCATTAAATCTGTGGTCACTATATAAAACTTGCAATATTAATTATTTTGTTGAAACTTGGCAGCCTAGAGATTCGTGTTCTTGGGAGAATTTGAGGTCTTCGGTGAGGAAGTTGAGGAAGGTGAAATAGGATTCTGCGTGTTGTCTGTCTCTGAAGGATCCGAGGCCTTCGTAAACGAAGTGGTAGTAGATATTAGGGGGTCAGGACTCAAGACACGAGGAGAGGGCTAAGGACTCTATCTCGGCAAGGGGAACCCATGGTGCCACCTTCGTATTGGGAGCCATAAAATTGGAGGTAGGAGTTGCATCGAGGCAAAAGTTGATGAAGGATCTTAAGGTGGTGGTGGTGAGGTTAGAGGGAAGGAGAGTAGGATTCTGTTCGTAAGAAAAGATTACTGTTTTATAAGGGCTAGACATCCTCAATTATCTATAATTTCAAAAAATAGCCAGCTTGAAATCAATGGGCATCAACCATACAAGTTTAATGACAGTTTCAAAAGTAAGTAAATTGTGCCTAATTTAAGGTTAAGACTGGATCTGGAAGAGCCATTTTAAAGTCAATATAAATATTTTCAACGGGACTCTGTCCAGCAGAAGATTCTACAGCAATGCTCACACAATATACCAACCAACCAGTGACTGCTGCTCGCAGAGCGGAAAATTGGTGAAACTTGAGATAGGGAATAAACACAGTTAAGCATTTTATAGTCGGACTGTAAGCACTTTCTTATTGTGTCCACGCCGGAAAATAAATTGATACTCGGTAGTTTCCGGCAGTGAGATAAGTATGGTAATATGTTTTTAAGGTTTAAATACATCCTTGGCACCTGGCATATATAGGGGCTATTATATACCTCAGGTCTACTAGTTCAGATCCTGACTGTTTGGGTCATTGGAGAACAGTATTCTAATATTTAAATCTTTACGCTTGAAATGATTCTTTTGTGATGACGCTGATTTAAAAAGTACTATTATACTGTATTGTTTTTCCTAAAAATTAACCGATTCGTGTTATTCGACTATTAGTATTATATGAAGTGCAATATGCGGTGCTTGGCAACACTTGTAGGGTATAAAACCATTTCCAAATAAAAGGTGACCATTGTCAGGATAGCATTTTCAAAATACATTACCTTCAAGCTTTTTGGGTTGCTCTTAGTGGATAAACAGTGTAATCCTTATACTCAGTGACGAAACGTATCTGTGGGCCGCCCACTCGCTAAATTTGCCGCCCTTAAATTGTTCTAATATCCTGATTTTTAGAGAATACGCTTGTAAAATCTTTAAAAAGTATTTTAGTGGGGGCGGTCGTTTCACCATTTCTTACACCCTGCAATCTGCATCACGTAACCTTTCATGGCTTTGAGTTCAACATTAAGTAACATGTTGCCGAGTGCCGTCTCAAGTAAGTTACCTAGTTGCAATGCCACACACCTTGTTCGCGTTCGGGACACACGCACAGATTCTCTGCTTCCCCTTTAATCACTTAATAGTTCATAAAACAATGGGTAAAGAGGGGCTACAAGGAATTGGAGTGAAATAGAACAACAGCAATTAGGCAAATCTTGTGAGCAAGGCTCTCCCATTCCACACTCCGACTATTCCCGGCATAGCGGGGGTGGGAGGGGGGGGGGTGGCGGGGGGTTTCGTTTCGCCATTGCTTACACCCTGCATCACTTAACAATAGTAACCTTTCATGGCTTTGAGTTCAACATTAAGTTACATGTTGCCGAGTGCCGTCTCAAGTAAGTTACCTAGTTGCAATGCCACACAACTTGTTCGGGACACACGCAAAGATTCTCTGCTTCCCCTTTAATTACTTAATCGTTCATAAAACAATGGGTAAAGAGGGGCTACAAGGAATTGGAGTGAAATAGAACAATAGCAATTAGGCAAATCTTGTGAGCAAGGCTCTCCCATTCCACACTCCGGCTATTTTCCCTTAATGTACCAGTTCGTTTGCTTTTGTTTATCAGAGAGAAATCCAAATACCACTCACAGGTCGAAATGTCTTCAAGCACCCATTGAGGAGTGAGGACGGTTTCAGCTGTCATTAAATCTGTGGTCACTATGAAACTTGCAATATCAATTATTCTGTTGAAACCTGGTAGCCCAGACAATTTGCTTTCGTGTTCTTGGGTGAATTTGAGGTCTTTGGTGAGGAAGTTGAGGAAGGCGAGGAAGGATTCTGCGTGCCGTCGTCAACGAAGTGGGGGTAGACATAAGGGGGTCAGGACGTCATAAAGGAGAGGGCTGAGGACTCTATTTCGGTAAGGCGTATTTCAACGATAAAAGGGAACCCACGGTGCCACCTTTGTATATACCTCAGTGGAAGGAGCCATTGAATTGGAGATACATTAAGTATCAAAGTATGCTGCACTCAGAGCTCCACATTAAGTATGCTGCACTCAGAGCTCCACATTAAGTATGCTGCACTCAGAGCTCCACATTAAGTATGCTGCACTCAGAGCTCCACATTAAGTATGCTGCACTCAGAGCTCCACATTAAGTATGCTGCACTCAGAGCTCCACATTAAGTATGCTGCACTCAGAGCTCCACATTAAGTATGCTGCACTCAGAGCTCCACATTAAGTATGCTGCACTCAGAGCTCCACATTAAGTATGCTGCACTCAGAGCTCCACATTAAGTATGCTGCACTCAGAGCTCCACATTAAGTATGCTGCACTCAGAGCTCCACATTAAGTATGCTGCACTCAGAGCTCCACATTAAGTATGCTGCACTCAGAGCTCCACATTAAGTATGCTGCACTCAGAGCTCCACATTAAGTATGCTGCACTCAGAGCTCCACATTAAGTATGCTGCACTCAGAGCTCCACATTAAGTATGCTGCACTCAGAGCTCCACATTAAGTATGCTGCACTCAGAGCTCCACATTAAGTTTGCTGCACTTGCAAACCAATATCGCGAGCTATTACAAGTTGTCAATGCCATGTATAATAACACATTAAAATTTAAATAGTGGTCAAACTGCAGCCACGGTGATTTGAATATTTTAGTTGACAAGTTGAATTGTTGATGAAGGAGCATACGACAACTGTCAGATAACTCAATGACCGACTTCGCTATCGTAATTTATTAAATAATTAAGAATTCTCGTCATTCTACATTAAAGTTTAACTCTCTCTCTCTCTCTCTCTCTCTCTCTCTCTCTCTCTCTCTCTCTCTCTCTCTCTCTCTCTCTCTCTCTCTCTCTCTCTCTCTCTCTCTCTCTCTCTCTCTCTCTCTCTCTCTCTCTCTCTCTCTCTCTCTCTCTCTCTCTCTCTCTCTCTCTCTCTCTCTCTCTCTCTCTCTCTCTCTCTCTCTCTCTCTCTCTCTCTCTCTCTCTCTCTCTCTCTCTCTCTCTCTCTCTCTCTCTCTCTCTCTCTCTCTCTCTCTCTCTCTCTCTCTCTCTCTCTCTCTCTCTCTCTCTCTCTCTCTCTCTCTCTCTCTCTCTCTCTCTCTCTCTCTCTCTCTCTCTCTCTCTCTCTCTCTCTCTCTCTCTCTCTCTCTCTCTCTCTCTCTCTCTCTCTCTCTCTCTCTCTCTCTCTCTCTCTCTCTCTCTCTCTCTCTCTCTCTCTCTCTCTCTCTCTCTCTCTCTCTCTCTCTCTCTCTCTCAGGTTTATGGATCTTAAGTTGTCCGGCCATCTAGGGTGGAGGTTCCGCATCTTTTTGAGGTGGTCTGTCGTGAACTTCTTGTCGTTGTGGAGTTTCTTGAGTACTTTTTAAGTTTATACAGTTTGGAGGTGACAGATTGTGTGGGGTCTTTGTTCAAAAGGGTATAACTACCTGAGGTCAAGTGACCGTTAACTTTTCTTTTGTATTGTTCGTGGGTTAACACCTTAATGGAGTTTCCCTTATCAGCAGGAAGAAATTTCAATTCAGATAATTCTTAGATTTGAATGATTTGACTTTGAGAGCTGTACGCTGTTGGGGAGTCAATTTGTCATGGGTCATGTCACGTCGTTTGTAAAATTTGGATAAGAGGTAACCTGATAGGTGGCGGAAGCTTCCGTCCCTTCACCAAGCTGTTTGGTGACATTTTAAATAAGGGGAGTTAGTTCAAGGGTGGGATCTGATGTGGGTGTACGTCGCTTTCTCCGGTGGAAAGAGTCTGTCCGGAGAGTTTGTCTTAACTGTAGTGTCTTTCTTTGGGGTGGGTGATGAGGAGAGGTAAATGGAATGTGGGAGCTATTATGTCAAAGGTTGTGAGGGTGTCGTAGGGTGAGAGGCAGAGATGTGCACCGTGTTAATTTTAGGCAGCGGCGGTCTGGACGCCAAAATTGGTCAGCGGCGGCGGTTTGACGGCGGTCTGACTACTAGATATCCAAACGTGGTCTGTAAGGACATTTCGATAAATTATATTATCAAACATGTCAATCTTACAAATGTCAACAATCCTAAAATAATTTAGAACCGAAACGTGATCCTTTGTAAAATTATATGTCCCAATAATCAAATTGACTTGTACTCAAGTATAAAGTTAAACAATTTACTCCAATAACCACGGTCACTAGCAAGTTCTCTCAAATGGAGAATATCATCATACGACTCCAGCAAGATGAAACGCTTCCAGAGGTCAACCTTCAGGTGGTGTAGGAGGTTACGTCTGTGAGCCCCGAGTCTACCAACTTCACTACACATCTCGACAGCAAAACACAGCGCAGCTTGAGCTGGTGATCTTTCATCGCTCCTCAGTATGTGTCCTAGCATCTTCCACCTAGATAACTCAGCACGCTCAGACATAGGGGTAGAGTTACTCTGTTTGTAGAGGGTATCTTTGGACATCATACTGCGTGGCCAGCTGACATTCATGATCTTTCTGAGGTGGTTACGGTGACATGCATCTAGTTTGTCCCAGTACGATTTAGGCATTCCCCAGCAACTAGAGTTATACATGAGGATAGATACTACTTGGGCCTCATAGACCTTCAGCTTCTTCTGTAGGGGGATCTTACTCTGGCACCAGACCTTCTTGAAGTTCTGGAATGCTACATTGGCTAACATGATTCTTCTGGTGACATCTTTCCTACTTTCTAGCAGAGAACCCAACAACTTGCTACTGCACCATTCTTCATTCATTCTAAGGAGTTTACCATCATCCATGACCTCATCTTTCCCAGCTATGTAGACGTGTACAAACTCTGTCTTTGATTCATTAATATTCAGATTCCACTCTTTGAACACCTTAGTAGCGATAGGGAGGAGGGCTTCTAGAGCATCTTTGTCTTCACCAAGATAGTCGATGTCATCAGAGTAGGCATCTTCTTCAGGCATGCCGCTAGGGCTTATAGGGGGGGGGGGGGGGTTGGTCGCAGCATCACGGCACGCAGGTGGTAGCAGGCACCAGCTAGAGTGATTGTGAAACAGAGGCCTGAAACACTATCACCTTGGGGTCCTCCATTGGTGCTGATGAATACAAGGGAGGTAGCGTCGTTGACTCGCACCTTGATCTTGGTCAGGCTTGTCCGCCGCCGCCGGGTGATTTTGCCACGCCGAACGCCGCCGATACACCCCGGCGTACATCGGCGTACGGCGTGCATTTTCTGGCTTCAATATGATTCTGTCTTCATTTGAAGATATTAGTGTTACTGATAGCGATTAGCGGCTAGGGGCAACACACACATGATACACACCTTTAGCTAACTTAACAATATTGATTATACCGTATGTCGTATATTGGAATAATCCGAACTACAGTTACTAGCAGCTAGCTCTCATCTGACGCCCACGTGTGACTCGATGTAACGCGACGCGTTACATCGAAAATTTCATGCTCCTTAAGTTAAATTGTACTGATTTATTATTTTCTAATGTACAATTAGCAATCTACACTCTGCAGTTTTAAGTCTGCCTATGTTTATATGCATTCACAATTCACAGTGAAATTGTACTCGTAACATATATACACTGTTTTGTTCTAAAAACTATGATTTTGTTTCTAACAAAAAAGATCATGAGAGATCCATTGATTTCAGCAATAATTTATTGTTTATGTATTTTACCTTAGATAAAATAATTGTATCAATTTGTCTCAACTTTTATTTGATAGCAGATAATACCATAACAATATACCAACATCATTTGTTGAAGTTAAGTCTAAATTTAATTACCCAAATTAAGTACATGATCATATTCATATTTCATAGACCTCAATTTAATTGGCCTTGATTTCACGGCTCACGCCGGCGTACGCCGCCGCCGCCGGTGTAATTTTAGTGAAACGCCGCCGCCGATCCATTCAGCCACGGCGGACAAGCCTGATCTTGGTGTTGCTCAGGAGGAATCTCACTATACTAGTCTGATCTCATCTCTTGTGCACCCTGCGTCGTCTAGGAGGTTGAGCACAGTCTGCCTACTGATAGTATCGAAGGCACTGGACATGTCTAGGCCCATCTTGTGGAAAGACCACTCTCTTTCTTTTACAATGCTGATCAACATACGGTGACACCATACCAGGTCTCCACAGCTTCTCTTCTGCTTGTAGGCAGCTTGCCATGGACCTGTGTAAGCGTCTACCTTTGCTTCAATTCTCCTGAGTGTAATGAGGGATAGCAGCTTACGAGCACAGTTACATAATGTCAGGGGTCTGAGGCTTTTCAGTTCACCAGGAGTCTTGCCAGGCTTTTGAAGAGGGGTGATGAAACATTCTCCGACAGCGTCAAGGAACAGGTTCTCTTCAAAGCAGGTGTTAATGATTTTGGCGTAATTGACACATAGCGCACTCCCACCATACTTGAGGAGCTCATTGGGGGTATTGTCAGATCCATTGGCTTTGCCGTTCTTGAGGTAATTATAGGATGAAAATAGTACTACCTTATCGGACCTTATTTGGACGGATATTAATTGAACGCTGGAGGCCCTAACGTTCATCCTAATGTCCGTTCAAATAAAGTCCGTTCATTTAACTTTAAGGTCCACTTTAATCGAATACAGTTTATTCAAATGATAAATATAAATATAAACAATTAATAAATATAAACAATTAGTTCTTGTATAACACCCTAACGGAGACCAGGTCACTGTCTGATGATGTAGCTGATATTGTAGCTGACTTTGCTGAGTAGGTATAAAACAAACATGCCTATTAGGAATAACAGGTTAGTTTATAGTGAACAACAGTCCAAGTTAAAGTCCGTTGAATTTTTTTTCAAAATTCTGTCCACTTTTTTGTCTAGAATATGACAACTATGAAAACTTTATTGTGCCGTTAGTTAACGAAGGTTCTCCTTGGTCTGCTGGAGGCGCAGAAAACTTTACTACTACTAGTATATGGTGTTTTCAAGGGTCAATTGGCAAAAAAAGTCAACGAAATTATGGCACTCAACATCATAGTTCATGAGCTTGTCCCCGCCAACATGACAAACTTGTTCCAGCCTCTAGAAATTATGGTAAATCGTGTTGCAAATGACATTGTCCGACGTTGTTATAGTTCATATTACTATATTACTCAGGGGATGTAATTAAATAGTGCTAGAAAAGCTCTACGTGATGTTAAGGTTAACCTAAAGTTTTCTAAGATAAAACCACTTCACGCCGAATGGCTTGTAAAAGTTAACACTGAAATGTAGCACCGGGGTAGTTTGATAAAAAAGGTTTCCATAAAGCTAGAATTCACTGATGCTTTAAGCATGGACTATTTCATGCACGAAAACCCATTTAATGAAGATGATATGTGATAATAGACACTGTATACTCCAGTAGCAGGGAGGGGTTGAGTGTGCACTTCGATGTATAGAGTTTTTTGCTACTGAATCGGGTTAAATAGGTCATTGGTAACTCAAATCACCGAGGGGGGAATTTTGTGTCGCTAGCCCCAACCCTGTGGAGCCACGCCCATATTTCATATCAGGTGCGTATATGGGAAATTTGTATCTCAGCTTCTGAAGGTCTTAGAGACTCAAACTTGTGTTTAAAATGACCGCAATGCACATGTTTATCTTGGTACTATGAAGGTCATGAAAGCCCAAAATGCTTATTTTTGGAAAAAATTCAGAAAAACCGATTTTCACTTGGGCACGAGTAAAAAATCTACTCTAGAAATTGAGTGAAAATCGAGTAAGCAGTTCAGTGTCTACAAAATTTCTATACACAAGGTCCTCTGTTAGGTCATTCTGAATCAGAATTGATAAGGTACACAAATTCTATTAGTAGTTTCAACCCTTGGAGCCACGCCCATATTTCATAATATGTGCGTATATAATGGGAAATTTGTATCTCAGCTTCTGAAGGTCTTAGAGACTCAAACTTGAGTTTAAATTGACTGCAATGCACATGTATATCTTGGTACTATGAAGGTCATGAAGGCCCAAAATGCTTATTTTTGGAAAAAATTCAGAAAAACTGATTTTCACAAGCAAAAAATCTACTCTAGAAGTTAAGTGAAATTAAGTGTGAAGTTCAGTGTCTACAACGTTTCTAAACACAGGATCCTTTGTAAGATCATTCTGAATCAGAATTGATAAGGTACACAAATTCTATTAGTAGTTTCAACCCTAGGGTGCAAAACTCCTAAATTACCCCCAGGCGCAAATACATGACTTTTCTATCTCGGCTTCTGAACGTTGTAGGGGCCTCTCTTTGAGCTCAAACTAACTACAATGGCCACATTTATATACCGACTATAAAGCAATATAGGGTCTATAGAACTTAGTTTTTAGAAATTCATTAAAAACTGTTTTTACCTTCTATTCATGCATCATAAATCAGTAACATCAAACATGTACTTAATAATGATATCTCGGGCTAAAAAAGTCTTCTAGAGACATTTGCAGCACAGTAAAACGTTCAACATGAACACATTTGGATAACATTCATAGAGCATGAGCAGCATGCTGCGAAAATACTGAGTTTCAGAAGCTCCTTCCAGCTATCTTAGGCTGCCTTCTCCCTCTCTGGGGCTCTTTCCAGTGCTGCTTGGCTATTATGGCTAATCAACTTGAATCCAACCTCATGTAGCAGAATCTACTTCTAGCTACAGCTTCTGCTAACTCCACGTCAACTCTACCCAGCTAACACCATACGTTATAATTTTAGATTTTGTACCCTCTGATATGAGTGCTACCTCCGCTGCATCCATCAATTTCCAGCTCATTAAGGAAGAGGAAATTTGCTGTTTCTGATGGTTGCTAGACAGGGCAAGAAGTAGCCCACTAGCCTAAGTTAAGGTTGCTAGAAATAGCAGAAGTTGGAGGAACCTTGGTGGTAGTTAAATAGAGGTTGCCGAAGTATGTGAAAACAGCTGGAATTGGTGGCGTAGTAGCTGGATAGAGAAAGACGTAGCATTCATATCAGAGGTTGATAGAAAGATCTAAAATTATAACGTACTGGTATTATGAAATATGGACGTGGCTCCAAGGGTTAAAACTACTAATAGAATTTGTGTACCTTATCAATTCTGATTCAGAATGACCTAACAGAGGACCTTGCGTTCAGAAATTTTGTAGACACTGAACTGCTTACTCAATTTTCAATTTCTAAAGTAGATTTTTTACTCGTGCCCAAGTGAAAATCAGTTTTTCTGAATTTTTTCCAAAATAAGCATTTTGGGCTTTCATGACCTCCATAGTACCAAGATAAACATGTGCATTGCGGTCATTTTAAACACAAGTTTGAGTCTCTAAGACCTTTAGAAGCTGAGATACAAATTTCCCATATACGCACCTGATATGAAATATGGGCGTGGCTCCACAGGGTTGGGGCTAGCGACACAAAATTCCCCCCTCGGTGATTTGAGTTACCAATGACCTATTTAACCGGCCGATTCAGTAGCAAAAAACTCTATACATCGAAGTGCACACTCAACCCCTCTCTGCTACTGGAGTACTGATCATTTACACATATTTTAATATTTTTACTGCTTAACAACTGCTTTTCTTAATTAATGTATAAAAATGGATTTAAAAATCATTTGCTGAAATTAAAAAATTTACAAAAAAAGAAAAAAAAATTCGGATTTTTGATGGTTTTGAATGCCTTCTAGCGTTCATATTAATGTCCGTTCATATTAATGTCCGTTCATATTAATGTCCATTCATTTAATGTCCGTCAGAATAAATTCCGATAAGGTATTACTTAGTATTAGTTACGCTATAACTATATTTTAGCTGCATTGTGGAACAAGAAATAATACCAAAGTTTTCAGTTACATAATAAAACTGTGTGCATGATGGTAATTTGGTTGTGTAATTGATGTATATGAATTGATTTCTTAATATCACTCTACATTGAAGAACTAATTTATCGTTAACAGCTGTATTTGTTGATCTGACGGCCAA